TTATGCTATTAATTTGGCTTCACTTCTGCTCCTTCTCATATCCCTTCTCATGCCTTTATAATTGCTCCTGCCAGGTGGTAAGATGAGGAGGAACAGGAGAAACTGCTGCCAAACACCTCCAACAAGAAACTTTGCTTAAAAAAACAGGTGTGACATTGTGGCAGTTCAATATTTCATAGCCAATACAAGGAATGTGCAACAACACTGCAACTTTAAATCTTTGCCTCCAGTGTCAGTCTCTCTCCTCTCATTGTAATGCCAAAGGGAACAGCAATCAGAGTGGAGATGTTCAACGTGATAGAGGTCAGGACACCAGTGGATCAACGTTCCAGAAACACGACCTTGTTTATTTTTTTTCCCAGTATTATTGTTTACAGGGTGCTTTGCTCATGTACCTTGTGGTTCTTAGCTAAAAGATGAAATTACAGCCCAGGATGAAGCGCTCAGGCACACATCCAATTTGTGTTTCCATCTCAGAAAACAAAAAGCTTCTGAGGCCCTCGGGCTGCCATTCAAACTTGGAGAGGCTGACATTTTTAACAGCATGAACCAGAGACTGGCAGAGGGAATGATCTAATGCATTTCTGACTTGTCAATCAAAGATCTCACCTCTGCTGTCTTGTAAACAGTTGGGGGCCACCTAACTACATTCATAACCAGGGCAGAGCCTGCTGCCAGCCGGGGGGTGCTGGAGCCACATGCTCTGGCTATTAGTCACCAAAATTATTACTCCCTTCTAGAGACACCATAAACAGCCTGCGGGCAGATTTCACATGGCCACTGGGAGAGCGTGAGGGAGAACGCAAAGCAGGCTGGGACGAGGGCAGCCACGTCTCCACACTGATGGAGTATACCAACTGGACACCCCATCTCTCTCCCAGTTAGAGATAGGACTATACACACCAGCCAACACTGACTACAAAGCTGAACAACTTCCTTCAAACGTATTTCTCACAAACACATTCTCAGCATGCACAGCTTGCCCACCTCAAGACTTTAGCTTCAGCCTCCTGTAAGACCATAAATAATGTACTACTACTTCTCATACTGACATTTTATTGCTGAGAAATACAGTGTAAACTTTCAAAGCAAAAATGCATTAACAGGCTGAAAGAAATTTACAAAGATGAGTGTTTCTAGTTACTGACAATGCTTCTTTAACAAATCATCCACTTCCTAACACAAAAATATAAACATTAGAAAAAAACAGGTGTAAAAATAATTTGAGAAATTAGTTCATCTCTTCCTTGTGGGCGCAAAAGGCTTCCATTACTACAGATCATTTACATCTTTCATACCCTCTCCAAAAATGATCTCAGTCCAAAGAAAGGAGCAGTGTACATGCTGCACAACCTCTAGTGTTCCTTCAATTCCTGTTCATTTCAATTTGCCTAGCACAGTACACCCACACTTTCCTCAGCCAGGAGAGAGCTTTCTGCCAGAACCAAGGAAGACAAACTTTGCTTCTCCAAAGCCAAGCAGAAGGTAATCCCCTTCATCCATCAAATCCTGATGTACAGTTCTTTATGATAAAGACCTTCATTACAGGAAAAGCAAAGTGTGAATTTGTGGCACTCCAGACAGACAGTTCCATATACAAGATGCTGCTTCCTCCACCACAAAACCTAATGCTCCTCTTGGACTACTAGAGCCTGCTACAGAAATAGAGTTTCAGATCTGGCAAAATAAAGCTGACAAGACATGGCTCCAGACAAAGAAGAAAAAGCATGACTCTTGTTCCAAAAAGTTTACAATCTAAACTGAAGCTGATGTTTGTGATGGGTGTCAATTAGGTAAAAAGGAAGATCTAGATTGTTCTGTGATTACCTTGGTGCATAACCTTTGGCAAAGTTTTAAAATTGCTCCTTAAGTCTCCTCATTTACAAAATACCTTACAGAAATAAATTCAAGGAAATATGCTCTTCTGCAAACACGGAAGGATTAATTAATACAATAATTTCCTTGTCATACTTGATGGGTGTAATTGTAAATTAGAATCTTCAAAGAACTGCAACTATTAAAACCAACATAAACTGAACCTGTGAGCATGCATGGAAAATATTTAAAAGAGAAAGTATATTATCTTAAAACAAAACAAGTCATGAGAACAGACACCAACAGGCACACCTAGAAACTTCCAAAGCATGGTTTTCTAGGAAAAAATAATATACTCTGCAAAATTTTATTTTCGTATTATCAGGAGAATTTACATGCAACCTAATTTTCTGTTGCTTTGCACAAGAACAGTAAGATTTGGCATCCAAGACATGGAAAATGGAATGGCTGGCCTTTTTCTCTAGTTATAATATCCTCCTTAACCTCTTCCCACAGTGCCTTATAGGAGGTCATGCTCCAATTTGCTGCCATCTTCCACCGTGATCTCTATGAAATGCAATAACACAATAGCCTACCAGTTGCAAAGCCCTTTGAGATAAAAGATGTCAAAAAGAACCATTTCTAGCTCCTTATTCCTGCCTTAAAACCCTTCCCACTGTGGGAGGATTGCCAAATAGAATTGAGGAACCAGAAGATCCTGTTTTTACACAAGTGTATCCAATAATAAAAACACACAAAGAAAAATGAAGTTGTCTGACATATTAACAGAATCATCTCTAAATCGACTATCTGCCAATGTTTCCCATGAGAAGTCAGCAGGGCTTTAACTGAGCTATTAAAAAAGAGCCTTTTTCCACGTTTCTGTCTGAGCATCTGAAGGTAAGCATGTAAATAACTAGACAAATTCAGCAGTGACTAAGTAGCCTTCCAGATGGCATTTTCTCTTTTGCCACAAGCAAAGAACATTGATATGCTTCTCCAGTTACTTCAAGCTTGCTATGGAAAAAGGAAAATAACTTAATACGAGAAAATTTGCTGGGCTACAATAAAGTCTTTAATGCTTCCTGAAGATTCAGTATCAAAAGAAAGCATTAAAGAATGATGAAATGTTGCAACATGACAACACCAACCTGGCTCCAAACCACTCCCATGTAGACTTCTGCACTGGAAAATGCAGAAGCCATGTCTCTTAGTGGGGAGTTTTTTTTTCAAACCATGCAAGTTATTTGGGTCAAAGCTCATTGAAATAATAATTTAAAAAAAGACTGAAATACAGATGACTCACTGCTGCAGAAGCTGTTGCTGGCAGTTTAGTTTCTCTCAGTACCAAATGTGTTCTTCAACACAGAGTGCTTTGAAACAATACCAGTATACCATTTCAGGTGGCAAGTGAGGCAGACTTCCCCAGTTCCCATAGTCACTAAATAAGCATGGAGATGTCTCTCAAAATCTGGAGGAATGCAAAAGTCCAAGTCCTACTACTCTCCCAAGAAGGCAGTACATGGGGAATGGCTATGCAGCTGACTCCTCAGACCCAAAATCAATGCACTGCATTAGAAGAAAAAATATTGTTTATATCTATCATCAGGAAGAATATCTTGAGCTAAAAGAGGCTAATTTCCCTTCCCCTTTGTAATATATGCTTATTCTGAATAATCAAAAATAATTCAAGTAGAAAGAAAGGAGTACCAATTTGAGTTTATAAATTGCTTTCCATATACTGCTAAGGTTCTCTAAAGCCTGAGCTTAAAGAGATCTGAGATTTATTCAATAGCAGAAAGCCAAAAAAAGAGACCCATCCGATTTAGTCAAATTAGGCAAATCAGGATTAGAAGTAGGTGTCTAAATTCTCCGTGTTGTCTCCAGAGTCCTCTTAGACTAATAAAAAGTCATCCTCCCCCTCCCCCAAGGAAAGCTCTGCTAAAAGCTTGTTTCAGCAAAGGAGGCCTGGCAGGACATCTTCCAGAGTCCATCAGTGCTACTGCCTGGTCAGCAAAAAGAGTTGCAGCAAAATGATGCAAGACACTTAAACCTCCCCTGAGACTGAGAGGATTATTTCCACAGAACTCTCCTAGCCCTGGGAGCAAGAAGTCAAATTCAAAATAATCTTTGCATGCAAGTCCTTCAGAGACAGATAATGAACTTTCACCAAAACAACTGAAAATTTAAAAAATATTCTATCTTATTCATTAAGCTTGGTTTTGCAATATATTAATGAATAAAACTGCCTGCCACAGATTAGGTCAGCAGTAGTGTAATCCAGCAGCATAAATCTTGAAGTTAAAGTCCATACTTCCATGAGCTTCAATAAACACACTCTCTAAGATATTCCTAAGGCCCCTCCATCACTGCAGTTCACACAACACCTGAGAGACACCTGTCCAACCTGAACATAACATCTCTGCTACCCAGACTCTGCTGTTTATAGCCACATGTCATGGTAAAATGCTTGCAATGATCTTGAGAGCCCTGTCTAGGTTTCTAGATGCTCACCCAATAGCCACCTCCATCTCTGCCCACAGGAGAGCATCTGCATTTTGTAAGATTGACAAGTTACCCAAAGCATCTGAACAAACCTGTTTGTCAGAGAGCTGTCTCAATACAGAGAAAAGCTTGAATCTAACAAATTCAGTGATCAAAGAAAAAACAGGTTTCCTTTATTCGCCTTTTGATTGACAGCCTGCTTGTACAATAATTTTCTGTAGTCAAAATGTCCAGACTACTGCTAACAAACAGAAGTAAACAAATGCTGGCATCGATTATCAGTAAGGCAATGAACCCACCCTCTCAGTCCTTTAAGTGGCACACAGAAAACTTAGATAGGAGGGGAATCACTGCATGAATAGCCAGATTGGAGACTGTGTGATGAATACTGTTTGCCAAATATAATTAAGTGGTATATTCTTGACACAGTTGAAAGCCAATGGAAAAGATGATGGTACCAAGCCAATTTTGACAATATAATTATATTGAGGTAATGGAAATGCCACAGTACTGAGCTGCCCTAAATCTACACAAGACGGGTTTAAATACCAGGGTTCTGAATAACATAGGAGATGCATACAGTATGAAGCAGAATAAACTGAGATAAAGCAAGCAAGTGAAGGAGGAGATGCTCACGTACACAGATGGAAAGGAAAGGAGTGGGGAGAGACAGAAAGTACCTGGAAAGCTGGGAGTGCGCCAGTCCCTGGGTTATACAGGCATCGTAGCGAGGGCATGCTGTCCGCCAGGCTGGAGCAGCCCAGCCACAGAGATCTGGGCATAGAGCACTGCAGAGAAAGGACAACTATGAGATGGGACCGTATGAGACAGGATGGCACAGATTACAGGAACTTTCAAGGCTTAGCCATCAACACAACTGCAGCTGACCTCAAAGACTGAGACATCCTTAAAGAAAATACAAACTGCTGATGAATCTTCTCCTTGAGAGAAGCTTTACAGATGTTATAGAAGCAAGAAAAAGGCACTATGGATCAAGAAAGTAAATTTTTTATTCATTTTCTGCACCAATGTGTGAGTTTTTCCAGTAACAAAAAGTTTATTTCCAATTAATTAGACCTCTTCTCCACGCACAAGCACGCTCTAGGCACAACACAAAGCAAGCAATTTTGCAAAGGAAGCAGAAAAGAAAATGACAACTTCAAGTGTAATACTGGCAAGGAAAGAAAATATTTGGTTTTTGCTCATAAAGGGGATGAAAGGAAAAACCCGCAATCTGAGGTGTATCAGAACTTGGTGTCACTATAAAATAGTTTCATGTTTCTGATTGCCTTGTTATTTGTTACATAAAATACAACTACTCCAATATATTAATTTTGTTCCTCCAAACACCAATACAAAAAAAGAAATCAAAGTAGCCATTCAAGAAAAATACTAGCCATTTTGACAGTTAAAAGCCATTAAAGTCAGTTAAAAGCCCCCTGAAATACAGCGTTGTTTGTTCATTTTACATCACTACTATTAAATTTAAGGATGCATTATGCTACCAATTGCTTTTACTAGCCACAGAGCTTTTTATGTCATTAGCACTGCTGCATTTGTCCAGTTACTGGCAAGGCAAGGGAAAAAAGTGTATTTTAAATTCACAAATAGCTATGAAAACTGTAGGATGTGATATATTAGATGTTAGAGATTTCAAATCCTCGTACTCTTCTTTTTTGCAGTTCTCTCCTTTCACTCTTTTTTTAAAATAAAAAAAAAGGGGGGGATGGGAGGAAATCTGAGTGGAAAGGGCAGGTGGAAGGGGTATGAAATGACAGCTGCCTTTTGAACCATAGTCTCCTGCTCTTAAGAAGGCTAGAAAACCTTGCACAATCTTGCACTAATTTAGTATGTAGAAGCAACGTAACCCATCCTTGAACGAGCAGAAAGGTGATCACCCATCTCCATAAGCTGGTATGGTGCAGACAGCCACAGAGAGATTAACCCTGTCTATCACCACGTTCTTTGCTGTACTTTGTTGCCTTTTACACTGCTGTTCCAGAAACAGTATTAAAAGGCTAATGAGGAACACAACCTTCACAAATGTGCATATTGGAAGTTTATAATAAATTAAAATAAATTCCTCGGTTCATTTTTACTTATTTTAAAAGAACTCTTTACTTTACAGAGATACTGAAACTTGAGAATTGGAGTACTTTGTAATATTACACATGAAATTGTAGATAATGCCCCTCCTGATGACAAAATTGCAGCCATAGTATTATAACTAGCAGCAAAAATCTGAGCCATGGTTCCTTGTCTGCTATCCTTAATCTCTTAGAATACAAACACCCCCTCATACGAAAACCTCCCAAATGCCAGCAATCTTTTGTTTGTAATACAGTATGTATCGCTCCAGCTATTAAAAGCTGTTGTGACAGCCTTAAAAAAGTGTGTGTGTACATATATATGTATATATATTACAGTGGATATCTACGATTAAGCATTTCATTGATTAAATAATAGATCTACTTAAATGAAAGTTGTTTATCACTCTCCAAGAATGTCACAGTAATAAGGGAGGTTAATGACAACATGGTACCTCTGATGATGCAGAGCAAATTCACTAGATAAGTATTACCCCCTTACTACTACCTATTCTAGAATTCATAACATCACACAAAATAAATGAGGCAAATTTTTTTAATTTTTTTTTTGTATAAAGGCTTAAAGTCTTGGTCCAACCATTTATTCCCTCTTCTCAGGCTTTCCCATCCCTTGTGCTGGCTCAAGTTTTCATGCTGTGATAATGAACTCAAATAACTGATTGCCATTAAAATTAGACTGACAAGATGCAAGAGCTTACTTTAATTATTTGTACTGACCAAAGCATGAAAATACACATCAGCAGCAGAAATTAGGACTACTCTGTCAGTGGCAAGGCAATCTTATGTTGCCTCAGAGTTTATGTCAGTCACTACAAGCCACAGGTATGACACTCCATTGCACCAGGGCACTTAAAAGGTAATGTCTTTCTCTAAAATTGGCACGGTAACAAAAGAAAACATTGGATGACTAGTCTGCTGACCCCCCCGCACCTATAGAGGATATTGTTACCCATCCATGCACTGTCACTGGTTAGTGTTATTCCACAGCCAGGAAGTATGCAGTAAAAAAATTACCAACACCTTACAAGATTTCCGAATCCACTCTAGTATATAGCAAAATTTATACTACTGTTACTATCTTTAAAGATACGTGTGGAGTTGCACACAGTGTGGGAGAAAATGTCATTCCTGTACTTGCCTTTTACCTATTGAAGGAAGCAGAGACTTTAAATTACTATTGGTGTCTGAAAGAAGCTTATTCACAAGCATGAACAAAAGGCCTCAGGTGCTTCAATAGAAACAGCTTGTGAGTAAATCAGATGAGTGACCCAATGGAACAACTTCATTTACAGCCCAATCTCTGAAAAATCTCAACAGCCTCTATCCCCAGCAACTGAGCAACCCACGTGTCAAACACTCACTTTTATACTGTCAACTCCACAAACAAGGGACTGGCCTCAATGCTCAATACTTGAAAGCTGACTGACAAAATCCTCTCCTGAACTCAAGTCAATCTATGTTGACTCTTCAAAGCAAAGATACAGAGGCACCACGTTTGGCCTACAGCCAAATGGGAATGCTGATATTGCTTGCAAAGTACTGGGCCAGGATTCAGCACACTCCCTTACCTTCCTGACTCCCGATTGCATTAGTACTCTGGATGTCTGCACAGCTTTCAGACAGAGAAACAAAGCTTTTAATTTATAGAAGCTAAGCATCTTTAATACACATTGATTTAATACACATAATACAGGGATTTGGGAAAAAAAAAAGCAGAATTTATTTTTCCAACTTACTTTGAGCCCTATTCCCTGAACTCTGAAAAACATTTTGCCACTAAAGAAATACAGGGAATACAGTTTTAAGACCATCATCCTCCTACTGACAGAAGCTGGTACCAGTTGCTGCACTGGTGATTAAAATGGGCTTGTCTTATTTTGAATTAACACAGGCTAAAAGCATCCACAGTCACTGGCTGAGCTGAGTGGGCAGTAACTGTGAGTTGAAGGGAAGTCATATTTTAACCTATTCAATTATTATTGTAACTGTATTTCAAGAACATTTTTTACTACATCAGATGTTCTGCCTCTAATAGCCTTCCCTCTCTTCCAATTATTTGATGTCCTAAAGACAAATCTCAATACACACTCAGTAGCTAATTTTTTGCCACTGCTAAAAATTGGTTATTTACCTTGTTTGCTAGTGCATAAGAAGATTATACACTACAATTTCAGACTGTGTTTTTTATCAAATTTGTTCTCTTCCAGTCCTTCAGCAAATACAATATACTAGGGTTAACTAACACAGTTTTAGTAAATTGTGTTACAGGTCAGAAATGTATCACCTTGTCCTGTAAAACTAAGTGGCACTACATGGCGGGGGGAAAAAAAAAAAAAAAAAAAAAAAAAAAAAAAAAGAAGTTCTTGAACTACTAAAATTCACAGCTATAGTGAACAGGCATGAAAATACAAATTCACTTAACTGAACTCTCGGTGAAACAAGAACAACAACAACCAAACAATAGTTTAAAGACATTTCCTTTATAAATACTTGAGAAATTAATTAGACAGTAGAGTAGAATTACTGTCTTTAATTATGGTGCATTTTAACCTATTAAAGTGTAATAGCCTATTATTCCTGCCTGCACCCTGCACTCAACCTTATGATAACCTACATGCCTAAAACACCTTTGATTTGTAGGAAACCTAATATGTATATTTGCACATCTTCACAAGTTAGTGGCAAAGTGAAATAGACTTTTCTGAGGCCTGGGTTTTGGTCAACTCTACATAATGCAAATTCCAGTTGCCAACCACACCTATTTCAATCCTTCCCCAGTTTAGATTTATTTCCAGTCTAGAACAGTGCTCAGTGCTTGATACAGTTGAACTCTAAAGATAAGCAAATAAAAAATGCTACTTATCTTGGGAGATGGAAATTTAGATCCTGTTCTCCCAATATTTTCATTAAGGAGTGTAAGCAGAACATGACACATGTTGACTAGAGCTGAAGAGTTTTTATAAACAGAGACATGGGGCTTCTTCTGGTTGGTCCAGCTGATCATAAGCCATAAGATTGGATATGGTTGTGCCAAGAAAAACAGAAGTTTTAACTATTAAAAAACACAGGACAAGAATGGCAAATAAGTGCTAGAAATTCTGCTACTGAAACAGAAGCAGATAAAACATAAGCGATGATCCAAAGAGTAGTAAAACTACATACACCAGACCTGGTCATGATATGAGGAGACAGATCTTACCCCACTTCTTGTTTTCATCACTTTAGAAATACGGGATAGCTGGCAAGTACAGCTCTCCCTGAAAGTCTCTTTTGTAATACACTCCTGCATTCTCTCTATGAGATATTCATCAGGAAATGTACCCTAGGAATTTTGATCCTTTAACATGTTTCATCAAACACATGCTCAGATGTTAACAGAATTCCTAATATTCACAATTATTTTTATTATGTAACACCACCAGTGGGAGAATAAACCAAATAATTTTCAGATCTACTCAGTTCCTCTTACAGTTTTTTGATCAAATATTTAAGCACATTAGTGCCAAAATACAACACAAATCACTTTCACATGTTGTTCAATGTGTACTCTTTCTGTCACCACAGAATGCAACATATTGTATGAAATGAATGTATCAGCTGCTATTTATATACAAACTTTGGTCTCATGAAACTTAGTAACAATTCCAGAAATTTACTTCTGGCTAAAAAGGTTTT